GCCCGGGAGGAGGACATCTTGTGCCAACACCTGTTGGATGTCCTCGCCCCAACGCTGCAGCTAGTCAGCGCTGACAGCCCGCCGCGAAGTCTGTGGGCCCGCGCTGATCTGAATCCCAAGGGGCAAAATGCTCTGGCCGACCTCGCTCTGGTCAGGGTCGAGCCGCCAAACGAGCAGCCCGTGGCGACCTCTTCGAACAGAACCCCAATCCACTCGGATGCCGTTCTGCTTCCGGAGCACCTGTCATCCGCACCTGCCCAGGAGGCGTCATCTACGTACAGAAAGACAACCACGCCGAAGGTGCGCAGCATGATGTGTTGCACCGCCCTGGCCGTGAGATACCGCCCAGCGGCCCCTCCGAGGTTGCCGAACACGTGGGGCCACAGAGGCGCCGCCATCCACGTGGACGTGTCGGGTTTGCACGCAAGCGCCCAACGCGCCCACCTGTGCGCCTCCAACGGCGGCGTGGTTTTGAAAGCTGATTTAAAAGCAGCCTTGCTCAAGTCAGCCTTGCCCAACTCAGCCTTGCCCAACTCAGGGGTGGCGCGTGCTGGCGCCACCCAAGAGGGCCGCCAACGCCTGCTGGAAGCCATCGTAATGCAATTTCTGTGCCAGCCAGGCGCAGTCGTTCACCAGGTTGCTCTGGAAATTGCGGATGGTCCGCGCTTTCGGCTCCGCCGCCCCCCCTCGCTGCTCCCAGATGCCGAAGGTGTCGACGAGGGGCGCCTCTGACAGATCCACCTGGCTGATCTGGGCAGGCCCCCCCGCGCGGCCCTCGCTGACATCCTCCGTTGTGCGGGCCCAAATCTCGCGCGCCAAATCCCGCGGGAATCTGTTCTGTTCAACCGCCTCAATTCCCGGGGGGGGGGGGGCCTCCGGGAACTCCAGAAGCCTGGCGGGAGGAGGAGGGAGAAGAAGAAGCAAATCGGGGGGCAGGGGGGGGGGGAAGGGGGCGCGCGCGCGCGCGCGCGCGCGTGCGTCGCACTGCGTGGGAAATCGAATTTGGGATTTGCCAGGGCCAGCCCAACCTCCATGTCAACCAAAACATGACCACGCACTGTTGCGCGTGCTTCTATTCATCCCGTCCTTGTCTGCTGATGACGCATGCGACCGGGCTGTTGCCCGCCGTGAGGTGTCTTCGTTGAGCTGGGGGCAATTGCGCTTCAGCTCGGAGAAAAGCGGCGCGCCGCCGCCGCCCGGGCGCCCGCGGCAGCGCAGCCCCCCGGGTACCGGAGTGCCCACGCCTCCCGCGTGAAGCTCTTCAGCGAGAGGGAACCCGTGAAGCAAGTCGCGCAGGCACGTGGCATCATCGCGCTGAGACTGATGGAGCAGAGCGCCGAGCGCGAACGGATCTTTCTTTCCAACGCGACATTCCGCTCGCGCGGCAGTAGCATGCTGCGCCGCCTCTGAAGATAAGACGCCAGGGCAGACTTACGCTGCCTCCGCGGCTCAAGCATCCCAGCGGATGAAGCGCACTCCCCCCTTCTACTCCATGGCCTGTCATGGTCCCTCTGGGCACCTAGCTCTCCCTTCCTCGTCTTTTCCCTGCGTTCCAACCCGTTGAACGCTGAGAATAATACAAACCATAATAACAACAATCATAGTGATGATACGAATAATTATAAAACGTTCCTATAGTCATAATACTAATACTACCGCTAATAAGAACACTAATACAAGCAAAAACAATACTACTACTACTACTACTTATAATAATCGTAGTAGTAATACTAATAAGCAGCATTTGTCCACCATACTCAAAAAGTCGTTCCCCGACTGTTGTTTTCTACTATTTTTGAATATCCCCCCTGTAGACGGACAGGCCCGACTTAACACTAAACTCGCACGAACTTGACTCGCGCAGACCTGGACTCGCACGGATCTGCACTCGCACCGAGCTGAACTCGCACCGAACCAGGCTCGCACGGACTAGATTCGCGCGGACTTATCCCTCGCACGCCCGAGACCACCAAACCTGGGGAGGGTAGCATCTCGCGTGCGAGGTTCAGCCGGTGCGAGTCGAGCGCGTGCGAGCTTACCCTGTGCGAGTGAAGTGCGTGCGAGTGCGGCTGCGCGGTAGCTGCGATGCGAATGTGCACAGGTTGCCTGGCATTCCATCGGCCCCAAAATAGCCAAGTTCTTGTGGTGCAACATGGCCATTAAAGAACAAGGGCGAGCTGGTGGCAAGCATCATCGCCCTGGCCAGGTATAGCCAGCGTTTTGGAGGAGGAGGAGGAGGAGAATGAGGAGGAGGAGGAGGAAGAGGATGAGGCGGCGGAGAGTGAGGAACAGCAGAAATAGTGGCCAGCGTACTTGCCAAAATCGCCTGCCCAGGCGCGTCAGAGCGGGAAACGGCAGCCCCCTTGCGGCCCCCGACGGCCAAGGATCAGAGCAAAGCTGCAACAAACGACAGAAGAGAAGAAGAAGGCGCCTCGGCCCAAGAAGCTCGCGCCCAGCGCGCAGCCCGCCGAGCGGGCGCGCGCGCCATGAGCTGGTGGAGCGCCGACCCGGTGCCGCCGCGTGGGCCCCCTGCGGCTGCGGCGGGCCGCAGCCGCCGGCGAGCGCAGAGGCGTCGAGGCCTCGTCGCCTGCGGCGGGCAGAGATCGACTGGCTCGCCGTGGTCGTGCGGAGCGGTTGCGGCGGCAGCGGCGCCTGGGAGCAGGCCCGGAGCTGGTGGACAGAGGAGGCACCGCGGCCGGCGCCCCACGCCACCAGCTGCGCCGCTGTGACCAGCGAGCGCGAGAAAACGCAGAAGCAGGCGGACACGTCGTGCTCGTGCGCGGACGCGGCGGAGAAGGTGGGCACGTCAGAGAAGCAGTGCCCCGAGGTGGAGGTGAGCGGGGACCAGCCGAGAAGATCTGCGAGAGGGCCACGGTGAAGTTCTCGTCGGTGCCCAGGGACGTCGAGAGGCCCGAGGAGACGGCAGACATCGGAAAAGCCATCAGCGAGCACGGGATGCAGAGGCAGTCCGAGGACCAGGCCGAGGGGCTCGGAGAAGATCTGCAGCGACGCCTGGGAGCATATACAGCACTGGTTTGCTACGGAGGACGTGTGGAGAGAGCCCATCGCCACCAGCAACGCTGCGACGACCAGCGAGTGCGAAAAGGCCGAGAAGGGCACCTTCGAGAAGGCAGACTCGACGGAGATGGCGGACCTGTCGGAGAGGGCGGCCAACTTTGCAAAGGCGAAGTCGGTGGAGGCGACGGATCGATCGGAAAAGGCACACAACCCGTCGGAGGACACACCGAGGAAGCAGTACCCCGAGATGAAAACGGCCAAGGACCAGGCAGCCGAGAGGACCTGGGAAATGGTCAAGGTGGAGTTCCCGTCGGTGACGCAGGACGTCGAGACGCTCATCTGCGAGCCCGCGCCGCAGACGCAGATCGATGGCCAGTCCGTCGAGGAAACCTGCAAGCTGGTCAGGGTGGAGGCCCCATCGGTGACTGCGGACATCGGGAAGCTCAACCGCGAGTTCGCGGTGCAGAAGCAGGCCGAGGACCACGCCGTCAACGAGATCACCGAGGCGAAAACCATCGAGAAGGACGACTCGTCGGAGGAGACGGATCAGTCGGAGGAAGCGTGAGCTCGTCGGAGAAGGCGAACCTTTCGGAGAAAGAGAGAGAGAGAGAGAACATGACGGAGCAGGCAGAAAGAAACGTCAGCAAGGCCATGTGGCAAGCGCGGGAGGAGATCGGCATCCGATGGCCGGAACTCGCCGCGCGTCGTTTCCAGAGCCGCGCGGCCGAGGCGGAGACAGAGCGCCGCACCGAGAAGGACCACGCGGCTAAGGACGAGGAGGCGGCGGGTCGGCCCGGAGCACGGAGGCTCCGAACAGCCAGGGCCCGCCGCAGTGAAGCTTGCAGCGTCTGAGAGTGCGAGGCAGGTGGACGACCCCGGGGCTTGCAGGGCCGCGAGGGCAGCACCTCTGCGTCGGCCCGCGAGGCAAGCTGGCCAGGTCTCCCTCTCCGCCCTCCTCCTCCCCTGCCCCATTCCGCCTCTCCCGCGTCCCTCCTCCCTCCGAGGGCCCCTGCCGCCCAAAGGCGCCACGATGGCCATGACGTAGCTGGGCGTCTCGCGTTGCGGCTCCGTGCACGGCATTAGTGAGGTGGCGACCACGGCTAGCCAGTGGTCGCATGCAGCGTAGTGTGTAGGCGAGCGGCTCTCGCGCAAAGTCGATGACCTCTGAAAGTGAGGCATTGCACTCTCAGGCCGGCGGACCTCAAACAACATCCTGAAAAGAAGAGAAGAAGACAACGAAGAAGGGCAGGGCGACGAGTGGGAGCGGCCAACTGGCGAATGATACGAGTTCCCCGCGAAACGTCTCGCCCCCCCGGGCTGCGCGAGAGGACAAACGTCGACAGCGCGGATGAGACGAATCGTAGCGTGAAGCAAGGAGGCTGACCAGGCCCAGGGAGGGAGAGAGAGCGGGTGGTCTTGACTGGCAGTACCCTGCAGCCTGTACTGTACACGGCCTGAGCGCTGACGGCGCGCAGGGCCTCGGCCTGAGCGGCGGCTCTGTCCTGCTCTGGCAAACGCTGCGCTCGCGGGCGCACGCAAGGAAGATCGCGCAGCCGAGGAGCTGGGCTTGAGGAACTTCGAGGCGGAAATGTTCGTGCACGGCTGGCGAAACGGCTCGCACGTCGCGTCGTGTCCCTTGTTGCCGTCGCGCCAGCTGCAACCAAAAGTGCAGCCGCCACGGCCCCGGAAACAACGTGAAATGATCCGACCATTGGAAAGTCGAGCGTAGACTTGTCGGACGGCGATCGGATCACAACTCGGGCCTCGGGCGGCCGTTCGGGACGACCTGGGAACCCCCCGGAACGCTCTCGGCGAGGCGTAGCCGCTTAAGGCACCCCGAAACTGGAAAACCACCCAGAACCGACGAAAGCATCCGAAAACCCAGAGCCTCACTTTTGCCCTGTTCCGGCGATCCCACAGCGAGGCGCCAAGTGCACAGCAGCACAAGCAAAATGTGTGAGGCGGCCCGAGCCGAGCGGCACCTGATTGGGCCAGTACGCGTGGTGCACCGCGATGCCCACCGCGGCGAGCACTGCGAGGAGGGTGTACCTCCACAGGAGGAACGGCCACAGAGGGCATCTCCTGCTTCTCGTTCTCGTTCTTGCTTTCCTCCTCCTCCTCCTCCTGCTCCTCCTCCTCCTGCTCCTCGTCCTCCTGCTCCTCCTCCTCCTGCTCCTCCTCCTCCTCCTCCTCCTCCTCCTTCTCCTCTCGCCTCCGAATCCCTCTCCCGTCCTCCCTCCCCCCCTATCCTCCCCTCATCCTTCTCCTCCGCCTCCCTCCTCCTCCTCCTCCTCCTCCTCCTCCTCCTCCTCCTCCTCCTCCTCGTTTTCCTCCTCCTCATCCTCCTCCTCCTTCTCTTCCTCCTCCTCCTCCTCGTGTTCCTCCTCCTCCTCCTCACCCTCCTCCTCCGCCCTCCTCCCCCTCCTATGTTCGATCCCTTTTCCTCATCTGTTCGGTCCCTCTTCGCTTTATGGGTTCTTGGCCTCCTCCTTCGCCCGCGGATCGGCGAGGCACTATTTAGGCACTGCGACCGAGGCCCTCGTCTCCTCCTCCTCCTCCTCCTCCTCCTCCTCCTCCCCTCCTCCCCTCCTCCTCCTCCTCCTCCTCCTCCTCCTCCTCCTCCTCCTCCTCCTCCTCCTCCTCCTCCTCCTACTCCCCCTCCTCCTCATCCTCCTCCACCTCATCTTCCTCCTCTACACTCAAGAACAAAGAGGATTCAACGCAACCAGAGAACCTGGGGGAGCACGGAATCCCTGATGTATGCTACCGACCAGAAGCATGGCGTGCGCCACAAGAGTTTCCCACCAGAGGCTATGAGCGGTGGGGTCAAGGACTCCTGGGATTCGACCGTCCTGGGTTATGGCTGGTCCATGGGAACCAGCGCCTGCAAGAGATCCCCCCCGCAAGCGGTGAGCATCCTGGAAGTGTGTTTGTCCACATTGGCTGTCGCCTGCAGGGGTGCCCCTGCGCAGGCGCTGAGCAAAGAGGTCGAGCAGTCCATGGCCCACGGTCCCTGTGTTGGGGGTGGCGCGTAAGGTCGGATCGCCGAAAGCGATCGCATCCTCAGACGTATCGAACGTGCCTGGGGGCATGGGTACGATGGCGGCGCTCGTCCTGCCGAAACCCATGATCTCCTCGAGGCTGTGCACAAGAAGCCGCGAGGTAATTGGGGGGAGTCTCCGGTGCCCGCCGCGCAGGGCGGCACGCCCGCACGGGGCGGGGCGGTCGCCATCAGGGCAGAGCTGGAGCCCCGCCGCGCGAGGGCGGTCGCACACGAGGGGTTGGAGAAGGAGGAGGCTCATGACCTTTGCGAGGGAAGGGTTGACCGAAAGGCCGATCCCGCCCCCGATACAGGCGGTAACGTAGAATGAACAACGAGCATGGAGGTTTTACGCGTGTCTCGACTAGTCCAACAGGTCAGCGTCTGTTGGCCAATACCTGCGAGCCGAAAGGGGGCAGCGGATCGGAAAGGCAGGGTGTTCATTCAAGTCTGAAGGTTTTTTTAGGCCCTGATTCGGCAATCCTGGAGCGCACTTGCACAGGCTTGACAGTTCCTTGGGCCGGTTCCCGGAATGCCCTGCTTCCCCTGAAGCGCATTTTGAGAGCCCCGACGCCTACGCGATGCGTTTGTTTTTCCACGTCGCGCCATCGCAACCTGGAGGTTTTAGCACGGGTCCAACAAAGGATCCCGATGCTTTTGCCATCGTGTCTTGCAGTTGCCCGGCTTCCGACCTGCAATGCTTACTTGCCCATGCGCCGTATGGGCAGGCTTGCCTGACTGAAGCCTACGCCCAGAAATACCGAACCATCCCTGCAAGGAGGCTCGGCTCGGGCGCGCTCCTCCGTGGCCCGTCGGCCTGCGGAGGTCTTCGGCGGCCCGCCGGCGGCCTCCAGCGCGTGCCTTCGATACCTCGCGGCCAGCGGCGGCCTTCGGCGGCCCTTCGGCGCCATGGCCCGTCGGCCTGCGGCGGTCCTTCGGCCGCCCGCCGGTGGCCTCCAGCGCGTGCCTTCGGTGCCTCGCGGCCAGCGGAGCGGCCCTCTGGCGCACTCCTGCGTGGCCCTGCCGGTGGCGGCCTTCGGCGGCCCTTCGCCTTCGGCGCCGTGGCCCATCGGCCTCTGGCGGTCTTCCTCTCGGGCGGTCTCTTCGGGGGGCGTCCAGCGCAGAGGTCGGACGATCGAGGGGCTCATGATCGGACACCCCTCCTCCTCCTCCTCCTCCTCCTCCTCCTCCTCCTCCGCCTTCTCCCCCTCCTCCTCCTCCGCCTTCTCCCCCTCCTCCTCCTCCTCCTCTTCCTCCTCCTCCTCCCCCTCTTCCTCCTCCCTCCTTCCTTTCCTTTCCTTTCCTTTCCTTTCTTTTCCTCCTCCTCCTGGTCGAGTAGGCGATCGACGTCGTATCCCCGCCCCTGCTCACGGTCCGAGCCCGCGAGGGGCCAGAGCGGCGGCAGGGGTGGAGTCTGGCCTCTGGGGCCGCGTTTCTTACCCATGGTCTATGCCCTGCTCCCCCTGGTGATGAGAGAATAATCATCAACAAGTGCGTTAGCGCCAACGTGTGTTTGACCATCGAGACCGTTCAATACGACGCAGGTGATGTAATCATCTACTGGTGGAGCTGGGCGGGGTAAACACACATTGGGCTAACACACGTCCTGGGGATCATCGATGAGTGGGGGACAGCAGCAGGGGTATGGATCGAGCGTCGATCGTGGGCAGAGCTCCGACATTGTGATTTGTTCAGTGGACCCCTGGAGAACTGGATCCCCCCTTTCCCAGGACCTACCTGTCTTAGGCGGAGCCGTCTTTTGGCGGTCGTGGGACCCGCTGTGCGCCCCCCCCCCCGAGAGGCCGAAAAATAATAATAAAACAAAAAAAAAAAAATCACGTCGGAATCTTGCCTCCAATGCGGGACGGAGGAGGACCGTGGGGGAGGAGACCAGGCAATCTCTTGGTTGGCGTCGTTCACGGCGAGGGTGTCGACGATGCTGTCGACCATGCCTGCGGCAGCGGCAATGCGGCCGTCGGGCCTTTCGTTGGGGGGCTGGGTGGGCCGGTGAGCAGCTCGAGCGCAGCAGGCAAGCGCAACTCAGCCAAGATTCGGCTGTGCGCGCCGAGGGGGAAGTGAAGGGGGGGGGGGGCGGACAGGCCCACCGAGAAGGCGGCGGGGCTTCTCGGAAGCCCGCGGGCCTTCCGAGAGGCCCACTGTGGCTTCGGAGAGGTCTTCGAAAGCTGCTCGGAAGGCCAGAGGCCTTCTGAGTCTTCTGAGACGGCCCGCCCCTGCATCTCCCCCCTGGGCGCGCCGCCGAAAGATAGGGGGCCGCGCATGAACGTCACAAGCTGCCAAGCGGTGAGGAAAGCTGGACCTTGGCTGTGCCGCAACAGTTCAGTTTTCGAGCACCCCCCCTGCATGCAGAACAATACGTTGTACTGGTGAGCTCCGCGAACGAATAGCCATGAATTGTTAGAGGTCCGCTGGCCTCCCTCCCTGGCGCGCAGAACGCGACAGGGACGGCGCCAGAGGGGCCGCCAGGGGGTCCAGCGCCGATCTAAGAAATCCGCGCGGAGCTCCAAAAGTCTATGTTTGTATCGCTTCTTGAGAATTCGCTTCTAGGCCCTCCAGGCTCGAGTTGAAGTGTCCTCAGGTCCCTTGCTCGATCCCCTGGAGCCTCAATCCTCATTCCTGAGGGTTGGTTCCTTGAAGGGCCCGGACCGAAACTTGCCAAATCTTCCAGGGCTTGTCGAGTGCCCCATTTGGCTCCCCCGAGTGTTGTCGGATGACTTTTTCGGGGCCCAGGAGGGCCAAGAAACCTCCAAGAGCTCGCCCAGACGGTCTGAGGGTGGCCCGAATCTCTACACGATTGGTCCAAGACGCTCAAGGTGGCCCAAGAAGCCTTCGAGATGCTCCAAGACAGTCCCAACAGCCTTCCCCAGAGGGCACCGAGACGCCAAACTCATTATGTTTCTTTAGGTGTGCTTCAATGTGTTTGGAAGTCTCGCCTTCCCGAGCTTCCGACGTTCCAAGACGTCCCACGAAGCCCCCAAGACCGCCCCAAAACGGCCCAAGCAGCCACCAAGAGAACCCCAAAACGGCCAAAGAGGGCCCCACAAGACGGCCCAAGAAGCGCCCAAGACTGCCCAAGAGGACCCCAAGCCGGCCGCAAAAGGGGGACAAGAGGGAGAACACGACCCAAAAGTCACAGTTTTCCGCCGCTAGAGGCCCGCAGGAGGCCTTAAGAGGCCCCCAAGAGGCCTTACCAGGCCCTCAAATGGCCTCCACGGGCCCCCAAAGCGGCGCCACGATGGCACCCCAAGGGGGCCCCCGAGGTATGACTCACGTGGTACTTGCTTGATATCAGCCTGGCAGCACTTGAGGCATAGAGACGATATGAATCAAATGGTAATTGCCTGGTGCCGCTGACAGCATACAGGCGGTAGGCCTCAAGTGGCATCTGCTTGGTACCACTTGAGGCATGCAGACGAAGTGGTACTTCACTAGTACCACTGGGCGCGTACAAACGATATGATTGAAGTGGTACTTGCCTGGTTCCACTTGAAGCATACATATGATAGTAGGGCCTCGATACAGCCCAAGAGGACCACAAGACGGACCAACGACAACCCCAAGACGGCCCAAGAAATTTCCAAATGGCACTGCCTGGGTACCGCTCCGGTCATGCAGAACATGCATCAAGTGGCACTTGATTGGAACCACCGGGGTCACGCAAAAAAATATGGGTCATATCTGCCTTGCTACCACTCGAATCATACATACGATCTGACGGACCCATGAGGGACGCATTTCAAAAAGTCCCCGAGAGCCACTCCAAGACATCCCGAGACGCATCCGAGAGTCCTCTGGCCCACAATCCAGCCACAATGGCGGGGTGGGCCGAAGGCCACTCAATACCGGAGCAGCACTCGAGCAAAACGGTGCACGTGCGTGAGCGACCTGCCGACCCCGACTCGGGTCGCCCGTCGCTCCCGTGCGGACGGTGTCGAAGCAGAGGGTGGTCGCTGTCCGTCCATTCGGGTGCTCTTCGGCTGGCTGCCGGGCCCACGTGGACGCATGGTGGCCATAGCAGGGAAGCAAGGGGGGCCTGGGAGACAGCATCGTTTCAGCGAGCCCCATCCCCACTGGCGTGGCCTCGGCCCGACTGGCCGAGTTGTCCCCCTCGGCGGGGATGCATGCTGCTCCTCCAGGACTCGGCGGGGCCCATCCCCACCTGATAAGGGGGTGGGCTGGCGGGGCTGGGATACCATGGCCCAGTCGGGATTGGGATACGTCCGACGATGCCGAGGGAGGCACCCCTCGCACCCCCTGCTGCAGCCGCCGAGCCGGCGGTCGCGGCGTCGAGCACCGATGCCTCCTCTTGGCACGCAGGCCGTCCAGGAGGGATCGCGTGCCGCCCGCGTGGCGGACTGCGGCCCACCTGCCAAAGTCACGCCGGCGGCTGGACGAACGCCGCCGGCGCGCAGGGCGCATCCGTGCGGCTGCAGCCCCAGGTGCCCCACGCCGCTCTGTCTGGGACGCGGGGCGCCCAGAGCCTGCAAAGCGATCCAGGTCGCACGTCGTGACAACGACGTCGTGACGCACACTCGTATCTATTACCTTGGCGAGGCACCTGTCCCCAACACACAGCAGCGCATGACACACACACAGTCCTGAACTGATCCTGGCGATGCCATTTCAGGGCCCAGCGTTGGAAGAGACGCCCTCCTACCACCAACCAAAAGGGATTATTAACAGACCTTTGGCGCAGGTTGGCCTGGCCAAGACCTGCGTAAGCAGATAATTGGCGTCATCCGCCAGGGCGTTTGCGTTGCATCCGATGGGTGCTGTAGCTGGCACCATTCTGAATTATCGCTTATCATCATCACCACCATGACCACTACCACCACCATCATCATCATCATCATCATCATCATCATCATCATCATCATCATCATCATCAGCATCATCATCATCATCATCATCATCATCATCATCATCCTCGTCATCGCCATCGCCATCGCCATCACCATCATCATCGTCAACACATCATCACCACCACCGCCGCCGCCGCCACCACCACCACCACCACCACCACCACCACCACCACCACCACCACCACCACCACCACCACCACCACCACCACCACCACCACCACCACCACCACCACCATCACCATCATCATCATCATCATCATCATCATCATCATCATCATCATCATCATCATCATCATCATCATCATCATTATCATCATCATCATCATCATCATCATCGTCATCATCATCATCCGCATCATCATCATGCTGGCTGCTCTTTTCCATATAACTGCTTGCGGAGACCGAGTGATCACGCACAATCGACGTTGCCCCAGCTTTTGGGGGTGGGAGGGTTCTGGGTGAACCAAAACGCCTGCAGAGCGGAAGAAGCGGATGCAAAGGCCAGATCATTCCCGTGGGGCACAAACATGATGCTAGCTGCTCTGTGCCAAACTACTGCGTGCGGAGACCGAATGAACACGCACAGTCGACACTGCCCACCTTCAGCCTCCCGCAATCAACACAGGCCTGGCGACTTTATTCGACGCAAAGACCTGCAACAATCTTGTGGACGGAAGTCTCCCCCCCGAGGCCCCCGAATTAAGAGGGGCGAGAGGGAGCAGAGAAGGCGAGAACGGGCCACAGGGCATGGACACGCAAGAGGCTAAGGGAGGTAGCGAACGCCTGGGATAGAACCTCACAGAGCTTCTCGGGATAACCCTGTTTTTGCCGAGTAATAAAAAAACTTGGACCAGTAGGCCCATTGAGTTGAAGATGCGATTTCCCAGAAGACATACATACAACACGACCCAGACATCTCGCCCGAAGGAGCACAGGACACATACAATGAAACGGATGGAACCTGGTCCGAGCACGCCAGGCTGCACCAAAAGCGCAATAGTCAACTACATAGTGTGTACACTCCGCGTTGACAATGAGCGGGTCGATCGTACATTGACCAAAGAAAAGATTGAGCTGGATTCTCTTCGCCGCAAGGAATGCCACGATCAATTCAGGATTTAAGCACCCCCCCGCTACGCTTTGCCAGAAGATCCCCTTCTGCCACCAATAGCCGATCTTTGCCGCATAGCTTTGGCAAACCATGCAGGCACTCATGAGTGCGCAGCCGATGAGGTAGCTGCGACCGCTGAGGGGCGCGTCTAGCAACCGAGAACGACTGGCACGGCGTCCCTGACCACAATCCTGACACAACGCCTGGTCGAACCCAACCCACCAACGCGTGAAAGACATCGTCGCGCAATAGGACATACTGAGCCCCGCGGACAATATCGACGCACGCGACCGCGACATTACGGCGCGCTGGGGCACGCGCCAAGCCTCCCGAACCAGAGAACACATCTGGGAATACTCTCCGTAATGTAGGCTGCGGCTGTGCAGGGGCCTCGCGCAGCGCGCGGTGGAGGGCGCGACGCCGCGCTCCACTGGCAAGGCGATCTCCGCGGGCCGCGCCGCCGGCAGCTCGCCCATCTGCAAGGAAGCCCTGGCAGGCTAGTCGCGCCGAGCTACAATGCGGGGGCTGCGCCAGTGCCCCGCCTGCTGCCCCTCGGCGAGCGAGCGCGCCTGCGCGAGGGGTCGTGACTGGCTCGCCCTTGCCACCGCGCGTAGAACGTCGGCTCGACCGAGTGGGCCCCCAGCGGCTCCATTGCGTCCACGAATGAGCGGTGCCGCTGCCTGGGGCTGACCTCGAACAGGCGCTCGGGCTGGCCGAGGTCCAGCAGCACCCTGAAGTCGAACTCCTGCGTCTCTAACGGGCGGCCGAGCTCCCCCATGTGCACCCCAAAGACCCGGTGGGTTCCAGGCTCCTCTGGGCTCGAAGGGGGGGCGAGCGGCGCCACCGAAAGGCTCAGCAGCGAGAACAACCGCAGGTACGTCACGAACAGCACAATGACGGCCAGCGCCCCGATCGGGCGCGCGGCCTGCGCCACCTCGACGAACGCCCGCAAGCCCTGATC